ATCTCCCTCCTGGCGCTTGATTCAGCTCCCACAACTTCTGGGAGCATCTCCATGGTGCCCGGAGCCCAAGGGGAGCAGGGAAAGCAGAGCCCGGCTCCCTGCCTCCCCGCTCCGCAAATACCTCCAGGAGCTGCTGCCTTGCCATCTCCTCCGCTCCCCGGCTGCCTCCAGCAGCTCCTCGGCACCACTGGGATGGGCATCCCTGCCTGTTCCCAGGGGGTTTGACATCTGGCACAGAGCTCTTCGCTTAAATTAGGTAAGGAGATGGAGCGTGGAATGCTGCCGCTGGAGGGGAGCAGCCTGGGAAGGAGGGACCCCACCGTTCTGCACAGAGCATACAAGCTAGGTGAAATCCTGACAATATTAACCTACACAAATATTGTGATCAACCTTGTGAACCAGTTACCAACTAGAATATACTGTATACTATATCATAGACTTTTGTATAAAAAAAATAAACAAATTAAAGCTATAGGTACATTGTAATTCTTGGTGTGATTGAAAAAAGTGTCCTAGATTGTATTACTTATTAAAATAATGATGAGCATATTGAACTGTTTTTCTTATTTATGCCTTATAAACTTGATATATTACACATGATAAAATGAAACTGCAAGAATTTTAAAAATGATACTCCATTTTGGGGGCAAATCCCATTTGCTTTTCCTAAAACAAGAGTGCTTCTTGAAATGAGCTCAATAAATCATGTGTGCAGAAGAGTAAGAGCAGGATCTGTCCCCAAATGACTTTTTAGGATTTTTTTTTTTAATGGGGCTTTGGTTAATGTACTATGTAATAATTTTATTTTATAAAGTTACTGTACAATGTTGCCTTTTGGTTCATTTAAATATAATACCAAATAAACTTGAAAATTATAGCGTCCTAAGTTTTAATGAAACAGTTATAATAATTTATTACTCCATTGCTTTTCCTCTTTTTTTTTTTTTTTTTCCAGGGACATCAAGATAGCCATGGGATGCGAGTGTCTTGGTGTTAGATAACTAAGCAGCCTATCTAGTTCTTGCCAGAATTGCTAACGGATTTCTCAGTTGTGAAATAATAAGAAGGCAGTAGATAATGAAAAATGAGTTTGGTTTCTTTTAAAAGCTTCTTTGCATCACACTGGGCTTCTGGGAGATTATCTCTTGACAGTAATCATAATATTTCATTTTATAGGTTATTTCATGACTGAGTTTTGCCGTATCAACTGTTTTAAGAAGGTCATGACTAATATTTTGGTACCTATTTCACTTCCATGTTTATGCAGCCACTGTCCCTTTTAAGTCAGTACTATAGATAACTATTTATAATCACCTATCAACAGGCAATCAGTTTGCTTAGGGTCTCTATATGAATTTAATTTGCTGCTTTTGACTTGTTAATTGCAAAAACCAGGTTGTCTTAAAATTCCAGGTGTTGAAACAAAGATAGAGCTGAGCCTACCACTGAAGGTAATCCAGCATCAGAGGTTGCAAAGGGCAGCCGCAGAAGAGAGGACACATATAAATAATGAACAATGAAATGAAAACATTGTAATGTAAGATCTTGATTTCCTCATCTCTCCTGCATAAGCACCTTTAATGCATTTCTTTATCAATCCTGGTCAGGATGGGGACTGCCGAGTGCTCTCTGCGAGGCTGGGCCCCCAGCTCCAGCCCCTGGTGCTCCCATGTCGTGTGTCAGGCTGCAAACCATCACAGGTCCCCTTGGGAGGGACTGTGAGTCACAACGTAGTGTTTGTTTTGGTTTTGGAAATGGTAGCATGGATTTGCATCAATTTCAGGTTTTTCTCTTGTACCCATCAAGTTCAGAAGCTTACAAGTAGAAGTGCCTTCTGGATTTTTACATTACAGAAAAAAAACAGGAATCCAGGAACAGGAACTTTCATAAAAATGCTAAGTGTGACTAGGCACATGCCAAAAAATCTTAAGCACTCTGGCACAGCATTCCTCAACCAAGAAGCTGGGTATGTAGGATACATAGATCTCCTCTGGGTCATCGTTGTGCTGGAAGATGAGGCAGCTGCCAGGTTTCTACAGTAGCTGCTGGATAGACCTGCTGAGTCTCAACACAGAAGCTCCTACATGCAATGCTGTATTGGCGACCAAGACCCAAGCCCACGATCTCCGTGCTTCTTTGAATGGATAGCTCACAGCGATCAATTGTACTGGTTGAATAAATTCTTTATTTTGGATCTAGCTCTGATGAATGGCTCTGCCTGATGCACGAAAGAGTCACAAGCAAAATATTGGATCTTGGGGCCATAGTCTGACCTCTGAGGTGCTCCTATGACTCCATCCCACTGAATCTTTGCATAGAAGAAGAGAAAGTAGCCAGTAGCCTGCCTGTAGCAGCGTGGTCCTATTGAAAGGAAAGGTCAGTTGTGTTGGTGTGCACTTTGGAAAAAGGCAAGCACATGTGGAAGTAGTTATGAAGATGAGATACTTCAATCTTTTTTTCTTTGTTATCTTTTCAGGAAAGAGCACTGTATCTTGTAAAGCTCTGCTCTGCTAGTGGTTCCCCAGCAAGCTTGGTCATTTCAGATGACTTCTGAGACCATGGACCACTCAATATCTTGCAGGCTGTTACATAAATCTGTGATGTTCACTTAGAAACTGGAGCAAAATCTTCAAAAAAGGAAGAAGTGGGCTGTCAGCAGCTAAACTCCTCCAATATGTAAGTTCCATTTGGTTTTATTTATTTTCTGCAATATAAACAGACTACATGCAGGAGAGCCACGAAGCTCTTCCAAAAGCAGCAGTACAACTAAGCCTTCCCATGAGCAATAGACTTGAGATTTTCAAGGAAGACTAGTTAATGATTCTGGATGAGCCCAG